GTGGTAGGAACGGATTCCCATTGGGAACTAATGTTTGACTTACAAACCACCCCTCGACCTAAGAACCAAAAATAGCTCGAACGGATTAATTGGTTTTCAATGCATTCCTATGGAAAATGCTGGTTCGAGTAATGAACTTTTCGACTTACAAACTTCCTTCCTTAAGTTCATAAGTCGAGGGTTGACTGTATATGGGTTTCTTTCCATGATTCAGGTATTTTTCCACCTGTCTTAATAGCTTCTAACAATTTTTTGAAATGTAGTATCAATTCTTCCTGGAAAACTTTATAGTATTCTGCTGGTAATCCCCTCTGGTCCAGGCATCTTACTGTTTTTCTTTTTCCATGCTTCCATAATTTAATTCATTGCTAAGGGGTTATTTAAAATTTTTAACTGTTGCTCCGATAATTTCCAGGGGAGAGTTCCTTCTAAAAATCTTTTTCGTTGCTGCAAAGGTTTTTTTTTGTACAAATCATCATAAAATTTCCATGCTATTTCTTTAATTTTTTCCTGTTTAAAAGTTTTCTTCCCTTCCTTATCCAGAACTGAATAAATCATTGAGTTTTCTCTTTCTTTTTAAATCTTATATGCAAGCCATCTTCCTGGTTTATTCACATTTTCAAAAAAAGTTTTATCTTGCAAATTTTACTTTCCTTGCCATCTCTTCCTGGTCAAGCAGATTGATTTTATGCTATAATATATTGATCTTATTTTTAAGAAGTTGTGCTGTAGGGTTTATCTTTAAAGCTTTTTCCTCTTTTTTGAGGGCCATTAGTAAATTTTGATATTGCTTATTTCTTTCTCTTTTCTTTTGCACTGCCAAGTCAAGTGCTACTCCCCGGAAGTAAGCCTTCCCCGTATCCCAGACACTGATGATCCCAGTAACTTGATGTTTATTTATTTTAAAGAAGATCTCTAGTTCTTTTTTTAATATTTTCTTCAGACGCTCTTTGTCATTAAGTATAGAGGTGTTTAGTCTCCAAATTCCTCTTCTTTGCGGGTAACCCAGGGTCATCTACACCGGGTTATGGTCTGTATAGATATTTGGGAGAATCTCAATGTCTTCCACTAGTTGACTTAAGTCTGCTGAAATCCAAAAGTTATTTATTCTGGACCAGCATCAATGTCTGTTTGAGTAGAAACTAAAGTCTTTTTTTGTTGGGAATCTAGTTCTCCATATAGCAATTATTTTTAACTCTTCTGCCAGTTCCAATTTTTCAGAATTAAGTTTCTTCTTTTTTTCCTCTTTTTTCCATCCATCCATCCTTGAGGTATCTTTTTGATTATCAATTACTGCATTGAAATCTCACTATCTTAAAAGGCAGCAGCATAGTTTTCTTTATGCACTGAGTAATTAACCTGTTAATGGCTGAACAAAGCTAATGGCAATCCCTGCCTCGGGAACCGATTTTCGCATTATGATGATCTAAAAACAGCTGATTGTCGGATTTCAAAATGACTGCCGGATGTACAAAATGGCCCCCCACTGTTTTCTAGGACGGATTCCTCACTTTATAGGCAGCGAAAATGGCTGCCCCTATGGAGGATCTTCGCTGGCGGTGAGTTTTCAGCCCACTGGAACACATTGAAGGGTTTTCAATGTGTTTCAATGGGCTTTTTTATTTTGCTTAACAAGGATTTTGTTCTACAACAATTTCACTGGAATGGATTATCCTCGTTAAGCAAGGCACCACTGTATCTTCTACACAGAATAGGTTCTTCCCACACTGGAAGCTAAAATAAAGAAGTTTTATCTTCAGTTGTAATGTTATACCTCTATAGGAAAGATGAAGCCCTTTTGTTTACTTTCACCCTGTTTCCACTTCTTCCATTGTGGGACACAGTTCAACCAAGTACTGGGTCAGATGCATGAGTTGATAAGCTCATCTTTAGGGGGGAGATTTCTATGACATGTCACATTTTCTCTGCAACCTACATTTGAAGTTCAAATATGTTTTATGAGTAACTTGGCCTTTCTCACCAGATTACTCATAAACATGTTGAAACCCACCCAAAAGCTCAAACATATATTGCAGAGAAAAAATGACATGTCCTAGAAATCTTGCCCCTACTCATCTTATAGTCTTAGAAACATATATGAATCTATGATGGACATTTCATAAAACCTTTCTCTTTAGGCAAGCTCTCTCTGAAGACATTTATCTTCAGGAAAGCTTTCTCTCAGTGACTGCCTACATGAGTGATCAGCCACATGGCTGGCTACATGAGTAACTTTTAGACAAACTTTATGCATTGCTGCTCTGACTGGGTCTTTAGTACTACTTGTGTTTATCATCTCTCAGAGTGGTATTATTTGTTCCTTTTTAATGTTTGCATACTTATAGTTTTAGCTTTAATACTGTCTTTTAATGATATAAGCTGCCTCTTTGTACTCGTCCTTAGTTTTAAATACTGTATTTGAAAAATGTAATCTGCCTCAAGTTCCTTTTAAAGGGGAAAGGAAGGGTAAAAATATTTAAATAAAAGAATAAATAAATAAAACCAGGAAGGCAGCATATCTACTGGCAGTCTAGAAATGATAGATACAGTGAGATGGGGATGCACATCAGTCTTACAACATGGAAGCAATCACAGAAGGTATCATTAATAGTAGGACATTTGCTACTGATAAAATTCCCTTGCTTTCTGCAATAAATTATATTTTGAAAGCAGTATTTAAAAAAATCACAGAGCTTATCTATCCAAATAAAAGGCTGCTATCCTAAATTTAACAACCTACCCACAGGTACAAGGCACTCTGAGGTATACTGATAACACAATTCAACTCTACTATTGATGAATTCACGAAATCAGTATAACAGTGGTGATTTCCCTTGACCTCAGGTAGCAATCTGCTACTACATGTTAGATTAGCTATTGCTTGTGAGAGAAGACAAAAAGTCAAGACTGCTATCAACTAAATTCAACTTCTGTTCAAATGAACACACATACACACCAAAAAAAATAATAATCAAAGATTAAAATTATTTCAGGGATGAACGTGTCCCAAAAGTATAAACTTTTTCCAAATAAATTCCATTAAAATGAACAAACTGTGATCCCCTCCCCAACTTCTTCTTCTTGTTCTGTGGCATCAAGTCAGAACTGACTTATAGTGACCCTCTTGGTAAGTGAGATACTTAAAGGGTGGTTTTACCAGTTTTAGTAGATTTCGGTCTAAATGGGTGGGATATAAACTAAATAATTCAAATAAATAAATAAATTCTACTCCACCAGTGAATTTCCATGGCTGAGCAGGGATTCAAACCCTGTTCTCCAGAGTCATAGTCTATCATTCTATCCACTATACTACACTGGGAATCCCCCTCCTCAATGTAATAGCCTAAATTTGTATAACATACTACTACTTGAGTGTATGGCATTGAAACAGCATACACTAACCACAATATTCAGTATATATACTTTTTAAAAATCTAGAAAACGTCATGTATTTTTTCACCATTATACAATGTTCCCAAACTCCAAATATTTTATACTGCAACATATTTGTATACATAAGTAGTGTAAGAAGGCAATTTGCGACACAACAGATGTGCTAGAAATTATTACACAACTATAGAGATACTTCTATAGCTACAATGGCAGTCCTGTAGTGAAGAGTATCTCTTTCACTGTGTAGCAATATTCCCTCAAATTTTCAGCTCCGCTGAGTGGGGCTCACCCCAGTATGCACAACCCGCTCTCTGTATACATGCCTCTGCCGCCCCCCCCCCCCCCCAGGGGCTGCAAATGGACTGAAAGGGGCCAGAAACAATCACTGTGGATGCACAGAGGAGGAGGACAGCTGTGCAAAGGGGGTGGAAGCACATTCACTTGTGCAGTTACACACCCTAGAGAGAATCTTGCTGAACAGTCATCCTCCTGGACCAAGAGGTGCTAAATTTATGGAGCAATGGCTTCCATATTCTGGCTTGTTTGAAAGAAACTAACCATCTTTTGCCAGTTCAGATATTAACAAAAAGCTAGTATTAACTGCAGATTTCCAGCTTATCTCCTCCTTCATGCCGAAAAAGGAGAAAAGTGACTGCATGTGGCTGCATAAAACCTATCCACACCTGTTTGCTTGCTCTGCTTATTTCCCATGTTTACTTCAAAGAAGTAAAGCCAGCATCCAAGTTCAGCCACTCAAATATGTCTAATGTTACTATTCAAATATATATATGTTTACTCAGTCTACTCCTACTCACTGGCTAAAGTTTAGTAAGTCATAACTAGAGCAGGTCCACTGAATCAATGGAGCATACATATGTGCTGACTCATCAAATACTCACCACTTCAATTGGTCTGTTCCTGTTACAACTTACTTTTTAGTTTCAACCACTGATTGATTCTCTTTCATTTCCTTCTTTAAATCCAACTTCTGGCTGCAATTTTTTTTTCAGGATCCAGCTCTTCTCTTAGTATTCCCAGCAAATTCCTGCTGGAGAGTACCACCTTCCCCTATATTTTATCTAGACTTTCCTCACAATCTCTTGTTCCACTCCTTGTTTCTTATACTCTCACCTCAACATACATCTTTCATGCCTCTCTAACCTATCTACATATCTTATTTCTCACATCTATGGAGAATAAGGACAAAACACTGCTAACAAGGAAAAGAACATGGTTTCCAAATGGAGAGAGAGCTTTCTTCGATATGTATTTGGAGGCAATACTGCATCTTGGAAAATATCCCAATGAGGAGAGAAATTAATTCATAAACACAGAACCTGCAGCTGCTTTGATATCAGCACTGACATAACCATAACTTTTAATTTATTTCCTGAACACATTAATATGTTAAATATATGGCAACGGAAATTAATCACTGGTCCAAAATTATATAAAACATTATATTTACTGAAAACTCATCAAGATAAGTAGATGCGCTGTACAGTAAGCTGAGAAAAGAACCCATTCTTATACCCTGTTATATAAAGTTCAGTGACAAGATGGGCTACGCTAGGTACTCATTCCACAACATGTGTGTGCCTTCTCACCTCAAACTTTTGTCTCAATTCTGCGTTTCCATCATCATCAGCTTCTGGTATTGGAACATTGTAATACTCGCCTTCTTCTTCGTTAAGCAGCTTGTACCTGTAGAACACAGTCAACATGTTTTTACATCTTTAAAAGGGAATACCTTCACAGCTTATTCTTGATATCAGTACAACATGCAATGAATGCAATCTGTTTTTCAGACAAAAAGCTGAGGCAGGACTCTGCACTGCAATCTCAGAATTAAAAGCTACTCGGTCCAAAGGGGACTTTTTCCTTAGTAAATCTGCAGGACCGGCTAGCAGTCAGAAACATGGAAGACGACAAGGATATAAATGGTTGGTACAAGAGCTGAAGTAGGACAGATCATTCAAATGCCATGCGCTCAACATCCCTGTGCTTTTAGAAATCATACAAAGAAGATACTACTCTCACATCAGCTTTACTGACCTCATCTTTGAGAGCAATGGCAAAACCATAGAAAATAGACAGACAAGTTACTTTCTGAGTAATTTGTGTCTCTGCCACCTATAATTTCATAACTAAGATTTCTGATGGTAGCCATATCCTACAAGCGTCTAGCTGATATAATTAGGAAGCATTTAACTGTGAATTGATTTTATTGCTGAGAATCCTAGTAATGTATTACTAGTAAAACACAGTAGCATTTCAAGGAATTTCTTACCATCCACAAGCTGGTGATTTCATGAGTTCTGACACTCCAAAAGAAAGAGAGCCCATGAAATCATTCCTAGTTGTTCGATCCCAGTCCCAGACTTCCACAGACAACCTCCTATCTTTGTCTGTAGGCTTTAATTTGCTGCAAATAATAAAAAAGGGTGGGGGGATGCCATTCTGATAAGTTTCTGAAAGAAACAGAGTGCAATGTATGAAATAAAAAAATATGGCTAGAAAAATTATCAACGTTTAACTTACAATGTGAATGTCTCCTTCCAGTGAGGATTAAGTGTAGAACGGATAGTTTTTGTTTTTTGCTTACTCTCATTCTTAGGATCTGGAATAAGTTTCAGCTTCACATATGGATCTGAAAGTCCATTTGGATCCATAGGGATTAGATTTCTTGCTTCTCGCACTGCAAATATACAAAAGAACCATCTCTGTGTTATAATACATTCTATGGAAATAATGCTTTGCTGAAATGTAAATAGCTTCAAAGCTATTAATATTATAAACCAGAGACCATTTCCCACTTCATCACAGAGTCATTAAGGAACTATAGCTTACTGTATTTTTCTGTCTGTAAGACGCCCCCATGTATAAGGTCCCCTCTTTTTTTAACCCAAAATTAAGAAAACGTATCTTTGATTATTCAGCCTCTGGACATTACAGGTCCCTGTTGAATCTGAGCCTACAGGCTCTACCTCCAACGAGGTGTGTTCCAATTGGTTTATTCAGCATCAGCTGATGTCAGTTCCATAAGGCTGGTGATTGGAGGAAGCTACTATATTTTTCTGTGTAAAAGACTATTCCTAAAATCATTAGAGTAAAAATTGAGGCATATTTTTCTGTGCAAAAGACTATACTTTTCCTAAAATCATTAGAGTAAAAATTGGGATCATTTTTTACACAAAAGTAAGCCGAGGAGAAAAGTATGTGGTTGTGAAATTGCCTACCGTATGTCTCTGCAAAATGTCTGCCTCCAGTCACAAGTGAAGCTGCCGATAGCGTGGTCTCTGTTTGCAGAGACAATCACAAGCCTAAGTGAATCTGCCGACAGCGTGTCTCTGTTTGCAGAGACAATCACAAGCCTGATGAAAATGTGCTCCTTTCTAATGTTTAAAATATTAATTTCTGGATTTTAGGTTAGAAAATTCAGGGGGTGTCTTATACATGGGAGCTTCTTATACATGGAAAAATACAGTAAGTCTCCTGACTGTAGGAAGCTAAGCCTTATGACTGGAGGCATCTTGTTTGCAGAGGCAAGGTATGGGCTGTTTTGTTCTCTCCTCAGCTTCCATGTGTAAGATAACCCTCAATTTTTAGTCTAAAGATTTTAGACAAAAGTATCATCTCATACACAGAAAAATATAGCATTTAAGAAAAAAGTGAAAGGAGGATTTTGAACAACTATGCAATGTATCAATTTCTCAGCACTTCAGCGAGATACAGAGGGATGCCTTTCATATGGCTTCTAGTCTTGCCTACAAGAAAGAAAGAAAGAAAGAAAGAAAGACATTGATTATATTGACAGAAGGCATTTTCAATTGGCTTGTGCAAGAGCAGCAGATATCTATAGGTAACTGATACTAAATGTGGCAATATATGTCGCATCCACAGCACTTCTCACAGAATCAAAACTAGGAGTTGTGAAAGTTGGACAGCAAGTGGACAGCCCATTCCCTATCTTTACAACAGCATTTATAGGAAGGGCTAAAGTACAGTAGTGTCCACTAAATTGTGTATGAGGTAACTAGAAGAGAGCTATAAAGTTCCTTCTAATATCTTACTAAATATTAGTAGCCTTCCTTGAGCTCCTGTCTATGTCTCTGGTATCTTCCCAGTTCCATAACAAGGCTACAAAAAGGAGACACCTTTGTGTCAGAGTTAGAAAAATACCATCACTGCCACTTTCCAAAGCTATTATGCAGGAGAGCACAGAACTGGCTTGAAGCCATTATACACTTGTTAGATCATAGAGTGTCAGGTACTGTTAAGAGACAATTCTCAAATTATACATTGTTGGCCTCTGAATGGATTAAGAACAGTTTGTATTTACACAATTCTGCAAGGGATGTGGGGAAGACTATGAGGTGAAGAGACAGAGATGGAACTTTGTGAAGTGTTGATCAGTATCTAGACATGTAAGTGAAACTTAGGTGATATGAGTAATTTGTTTATTAATCTGGACAATAGGACTGCTGTTTCAGTAGCTTTTTTAAAAAAAATCCTTCAATAAGGGGAAGCCAATAAAACGTGCACCTGATTTCTTATTCATAAGGTCAAGCACAGTACAGTCAGTAACATCATTGTTTAGAGCTGTTGTATGTGTAGACTCTAGTAAGAGAGGAACAACAGCAAGAATCCTCACTTGTATTGTTCAGTCTCTTTACATGTTTCTTAAGGATGGAAAGAATATTTGTTAAATCCTCACTTGTATTGTTTAGTCTCTTTACACATTTCTTAAGGATGGAAAGAATATTTGTTAAATATCTTGTTGCATTACATTGCATTATATAATTCTCACTCATTCCAAGCAGAGATTTCTCCCCCTTGTTTATAAAAACAAAGCTCTTGTATGCTTTGAGATGTTCCATCAATGTGGTATAAACCTCTTGCTTGTATACCTTTTGATATTACACTTGGCCAAAACATTCTGACATGGGACTCTAGCTTATCTGTGGGTAAGCAATGCCAACATATCCTGATCTCTATCTAGGTGATGAGATGACGTAGTGATCTCCTAGGTTAGATAAGCTCTGTAGTAGCCCCCTCTTTTGGAGTATATTCTGCTAGGTGATGTAATTTCCTAATACAATACTTGGACAGTACAATACATTTTAAATGTCAATTACATGTTTCTTACGTTTTTCATGTTATAAAACTTTGCCCATTCGATTTTTTTTATTTTTTGTGTGCCATATACTGTATTTTTATTAAAAATCCGTAACTGACAGAGAACTATAGCAGGGAAACAGAAGAAAGGCTGTATCAGACCAGAAACACTCCTTTTTCCTGCTTGTTGGTAACATAATTAGAAGCACAGCCACAGTGTCTTTGACTAGTATAATAATAATAATAATTACTAACAAGAATAACCATCTTCATTATGCAGTGTTGGTAATGCTCAAGAACCACCAATAAATTAAAACAAATTGAAATGACACTTTGGCCTCCCTCCTCAAATCTGATTGTACATTAGTTTCCCTCCTCAAATTCAAGAGACAGAAGTGGTACCCTATACTTAGAGGCAACGTGCTATTGCCTCTCCCCCGTTAAGCTGAAGGGTGGACACACAGATCTGAATGGTTCTTTGTTTGCCAGCCCAATATTAAGAGGAAATTTGTGGTGGAAAATATTCTGCTGTAGAAATATTAAGTCTGGTTTTTGTATTCCTGAAGTAATTCCCATCTGTTTTCAGTACGGAACAATCAGTTTATTTTCACTTGGAAGAGAACACAAAAGCTCTGTTCAGAATTCTAATAAAGCTGAAAATTTGGTGAAGTTTTACAAGAGGCTATAGGAAACGTAGTATATGAAAAATGAGAGTCCAATCATTCTGAGCACAACATATTATGTTTCAAACTTATCTGGATGGCCTTAAAATTAAGCTTTGCACACTCTTATAGAAATTGCCAAAAAATGTAAGTCTAAAGTACCTTGGCCCATTTCGTACATAATGCTAAGCCCTGGCTTAGTGTTACAAAAAATAACTGCAATGGGCTTGAGGCTACCTCTTCTTCCACAAAGGCAACAAAAACTTCCATTTCAGACTAACCACTGTGCAGCACTGTATCTGAATACTACAGTGGACCCTCAACTTATGGAATTAATCTGTATTGGAATGGTGGCTGCAGGTCGAAAAAGTCTGTAGGTCAAGGATCCACTGACCTACGATGCGTTGAAAACCGATTAATCCATAACCGTCTGTTTTTGTTCCATTTTGGGGTTTTTTTTTCTGGTCTGTAAGTTGATTCTCTGGCTGCAGGTCGAACCTAAATTTTGTGGCCAGAGAAGTCTGTAACTCGAAAAGTCTGTAAGTGGAGCCGTCTGTAAGTCGAGGGTCCACTGTGATAAACGTAAGAGTATAAATTTGATGGATGGATGGATGGATGGATGGATGGATGGATGGATGGATGGATGGATGGATGGATGGATGGATGGATGGATGGATGGATGGATGGATCTTCCTAATGAGAGAAGAGCTTGTCAACAACATCTCAGGAGGTGAGAGAGTCTGCTTTACTCAAAGTGCTCAAACATCTATTGGGGTGCTGTGCTTTCTTCCTACATTGGAGATTCTGCAATGAACATTAAATTGTGCATAAATGACCTCCAATAATCTTCCAACTCTTTAATTCTATGAAATAAACCAGCTTTGTAAACTTTAAAGTTAAATAGCTCTCACTAACTATTGCTAAAATTAACCACAATTTATTGTATTCTGACAACACAGTACATTGGGCATTAATGTAAAATAGAAGTGAAAGCTTCTGAATTTTTCCTTAGTCACAGAAGATATGGGGGGCGTGCAAACCCAAGCCTCACCGTGGTTCGTTCTCATACTGCTAAGCAATAATATTCCATACGACTCAGCCTTATATGAGAATATTCAGCATTTAGAGACTGAAAAGGATTTTCTGCCCAATTACTTTTTATTTTCCTTATTCCTTCTATGTGAAAGAGAGAGATGGAAGCCCTCCTATTCAGTGGAACACCAATATATCAAGTCTATACTGAGAAAGATAGAAACTACAGTGGGGTCTTGACTTAAGAACGGCTTGAGTTAAGAACATTTTGACTTAAGAACCACTCTCATAGGAAAATATTGACTTGACTTACATACTTAGATTTGAGTTAAGAACTGAAAAAAAACACGTGGGAGGCAGGGAAAGTGCAAAATTTGAACTTTGTTAACTGTTGGCCAGTGAAAAGGGTGCCTGTTTGCTTCCTCACTCCTCCCAGCGTTTAAGTACAGATAAGAGTATTGTCTGCTTGTTTTCTACTACTAAAACAGTCCAATGTTGAGCTTGAAAGTCACTTTTTAAGGAGAATGAACATAATAATAATCACGTGGTACCAAGTTAATTCTGACTTATGGTGACCTTTTTCAGGGTGTTCCAGGTAGAGTATACTCAGAAGTGGTCTACCCTTCCTTTCTTCTGGTGGCACCCTGGGACTGTGCAGCTTGTCCAAAGTCACACAGACTGGCTCTCATTGAGGATGCACAGTATGGGGACTAAACTCCCAACCTCTGGCCCAACAGATGATGAATGACTGCTAAACCCACTCATATATGAGCAGTGATACCACTGTTCAGTTATGGATGACTTCGTCATTATATTAATTCCTTTAAAAAGTAAATTTTCTTGTCCAAAGTCACACAGGCTGGCTCTCCTTGAGGAGGCACAGTTT